AGGGTCGGCACCTCTTCGATGCCCTGTCGGGTTGACACGGAAGCCGCGAAATACTAGATCACGCGAGCGGTCGCGTAACGGAGAGATCAGAGTCGGGATGAAGGGAGAGACAGCGCACCGGAAGTGGCTTACGCAGAGACGGGTTAACGTAACAACCGTTTAATAGGTAACAAAGGGGTAATACAGGACATCCAATATCGAGTGGAATATGATAGATTTAAATACGTTGGTTGTGATTGATATTATAGGCCTATATATTTTAGACGGAGTTAAGTTAAAGTCCGTGGGTCTTGAGAGAGAGATAGTTTACAATAAAAGCGCGTGGCGATAAATACCTTGTATGAAATCTTGATCTGCTGCAAGCCGGTTGGACAGAAAGCGAGACAGTTCTTATTCCCACAGTTCTGAGTTAACTAGATATTACGCGAGGAGGTATCCAAAGGAGCACAGGATATCCGTATATTTTAACACAGGAAAAATTTGGTGCTCTGATCGAGAAACTGGTGACGACTCCCCCCACTGTGTTGTCTTGTTCTATATTTTGAACTGTTGAAATCGAGATATTAGGTCCAGAGGTGATGAGAAAGCGTCGTTGTCAGGCCTGAGAACTTAACAAATGTTTTGCTCCCAAATGCGAAAGTTGACAGTTATTTGACGAAATTATAGCTACGATGTGATGTTAGGAGATAACGATATAAACATACTGAAAGTCTGGATTCGTATCTTCACATCAGCATTAAAAATTGCTAGTTGGTTCTGGGTTCGCACCATACGAACCCAGGGCGATTTGGTCACTCGTAACTTTCTTCTCATAAATTTACACCTAGATAGGAGCTTATTTCCCATAAAAAGTTCTCCCAGCAGTTGACAGATCGTCCATGTGTTAAGTTGCCTTATCCCGTCAATCCAATCAAATCCAAATAAACAAATGGTAGATTTAAAGAAATAAAGTTCAAAAATCAATTACAGTATTATACCATAGAGCAGATGCAATGTACAAAATCTTTAAAGAGACGATGTAAATACTGTTTCTGTACAATATGTTGGGTATTTAATCAAATTATTGTAAACTATCTCAAGATGACACGAAGTTGTTTGAACGTTTCACAACACGCGAATATACACTTGAAAAAATATTTCAACTTGGTGACTGAAAATAGAATTAATAAAAGACCATATAAATGCGAATGCGTGAGATAGAGTTATCAGAGGAAAATAAAAATGTAAAATTGAAAATATCGTGAAATATAGTAATAACTTATTACAATACGAAGCAGGAAAAATTACAATATATTCTGGACAAAAAGCTTGTACGACGAGACCAGAGCTTTTTTCAATTGGATTTTTAGCTGCACCAATCAAGAGTTTACTTCTTTCATTCTAAATATTACAAAATAGCAGTAGCATTGGTTACGTTAAAAAATTGAAAATAGTGAAGCTAAAGAATAGCCGAATCTCCGTTGAACGGGCGTGTAATTTAAAGTTATTTTAATGATAGAATCATTCAATACTTTTCAGCGATAATGAAATGCTCCATCGGTATGATAATTCTCACAATTGTTTAGTATGTTGTATTAGACATTTAGTATATACATAACTATAATATATACGATAGATACAGAAACACTTCATTCGGAAGTGTTCATAGATGCACAAATGGATACTTGAAAACTTTTGGCATACTTCCCTATAATCATCACTTCTGGGTAAATCAGTTGCATGAAATGGCTTCTAGAATAGCACTTTTCAATCTTTTCCTTAATACTAAAAAAGAAAGAAAGCGTCCGATAAAACCAGTTAAAAAATTGACTACGAAGAAACGTCCTACACCAACACGCCAAGCTTTTCAACTATAACAAGTTTCTCACCTTGGACGGAAATCAAAATTCATATTCCAACTACAACAAGAATATCTAAGATCACTATAACGGAAACATCTACTTCAACGATATCGACTTTGAAGACAAAAGAAGTATGTAGTTAACCACCCGAACTGATTCCTGTTCATGTGGTTAATTACATACACGAAGAACACTCCGGAAAATTTCGCCTTGGTCAGAAATGAATTCACAACCGGGGTACAGTAGTTTTAACCACTCGCCACTGGTAGGCTGACACTAAGAAAACTTTTTAATACTCGTAGTGGACCAGGTTCACAATAGAGCATCGAGTATTTAGAATGGGTCTGATATATCCGAGACACGACGATGACGAAAAATTGTGGGTGTTTGTCGACCTCTCAAATTTGATACCGGCACAGAAATTACAAAATGGAGTAGAAGCAGCATTACCGTTTTGGATGTTTTACCTCCAGATTTAGTGGCTTTCTTTTCGTTTACAGGTAAATTTGGAGATAAGTTTCGAAGATTTGTTTCTAATGAAACTTGTTTCTCTACGTTATAAAAAGAAATCTTCCTGTCGTTGCGAATCAATAAATGTTAAATCAAAGTAACATTTCCAACCGTAAGCGATAGGTTAAAAATAAAAATAGTGCTTAAGATTTTCGGGTTTATGGATTTCTCCCAAAGTTTAGGGAATTTAAAAATAAGTTAGAGGGAGAAAATTCTACAAGGTATTTTGAAAGTTAAGTGTGGATTGAAATTAATAAAATTTGTTGAAAATAAATGACTAAATTGGTTGACGAAAGGACAACAGCGTGAATACAAAATTTAAGACTGACACGTTTGCTATTAACATTTCAAATTATCTAAATACAATATTTAATGTCTTGAACGAAGCATTTTTGAAACTCGTAGCAATTTAAAGGTTTTTAGAGATATTTTCCATACTTGGAGGCTTTTACTCCATATTTAGAGAAAAACTGCAACGGCGAATGGAAGCTAGAAGGCCTTCGACACGCGTTGGTACGGTACCTTATAAATCTAGCTTATTATTATTGTTACATTACTAAAAACACACGACAATGTGTAGACTAGAAAGGACGCGAGAAGTCTTATAATTCCCCTCTGGTGTTTGATGGCCATCCAGCCATCAACACGAGAAGAGAACCTGGGATAATCTGGACGAAAGTTTTCATGTAGAACACGCTAAAATGAAATGAAATTATTTATTTATAATTAGTATGATTAACAAGAGATGACGGCCTGGAAGCTTGTTTAATAATTATTTAGTCCGATAAAGAATCTGGCTGTTTATTTCCTATTTGAGTACATTTTATTTCAAACAAATCAAAATACTGTATTATGAATAACCGTATAAATAAACTTTTTGACATTAATATATTATTTAATGTTTATCGGACTGCGTGTTTGTTTATTCTTTACATTAAATTAAATCTACGGAGTCCTTTAAAAATGCCACGATGTATAAATGTAGGGAAATGTCCTCTTCCTTTATTTAATCATTTCTAAGTACAGTACGAAGGAAATGCGGAAATCTCTATCTCTACGTGGCCATCCGTTAATCGGGCACAAATTTGCAACAAAATAGTCCAGTGATCTTATCCACTGGAAAGTCGGCTGACGTAGGAGTAGATCGAGATGCACGAGGGACAAGACATTTCTATCTTTTATTATAAAAATCGGAATACAGATACCAATCGGGACCAATAGCTTCGGAACCTGGGGTCGTATTCTGGTCACTTATCTCTCGTCTCTTCTTTCAAGGACGAATGACGTCAAAACGAGAGACGAAATTTGTCTGTATTTAATAACCTAAGTTAGAGAAGCGTGGGTACTTAGATAGTTTTCTAAATATTAGCATCTAATTTCTCCTTAACTATCTAAGTAAGTTTAACATCATATTCGATTGATCAGTAATTGATGTAATCGATCGGAAGCATTTTTCTCTGACGAAATATTCTTTCCCGAGATAAAGAACGTTCTCTAATACGATTGTACAGCGCGAGTAGCATCCAGTCGTCCATATTGGATAAAACGAAATGGAGGAAACTACCCGCTGGTCTCTGGGAAAGGAGAGAATCTTCCAGAGAAAAAGTTGTAAACAAATGATTAGCCAATCGGCCACCGGAATACGGACCCTGGTTATACGGAATACGGACCCCCCACGATGCGAAGTGTTATAAATGAGGTGTGAAGTGGATATCTACTTTATTTTCACGGTTGATCGTGCCTTAGATAGGCCAATACTGCGCGTTTGTTTGGCTGAGATTACGATACAGGGCCTTGTCCAAATACTGATTTTAAACGTTTATGTCGTTACAAAACCAGATTTAAAACCATAATTTTACTAAATTTAGATTATATATATTGTATGTATATTTTAATATATTTTTCTTTATGCGCATGAAATGTTTCTCGTATTCTATTAACGAATCGGGGAATAAATAGAATTACGAAACTAATTAGCACAGATCGGGATTATCTACAAAATACAAAAAGCATGCAATAGAAAAAAATAATGAAATGAAATTTTAGAAAATATTAATATTGGGTGTTTTACATATAAATGACTTTCGAGTAGAAGAATGTAGATATTAAGATAGAAAAGTGCATACATTTCAATAAATTCTTTTAAAGGTTTTTAAGGATAGCAAAATTCTGGATAATGTTTTATGTTTATATATACCTCGTATATGCACAGGGCTGGAGATCGGGGGCAAAGCGTATCGAAAGTTAAATTATTAAATTATAATTAATAGATACTTTTAATATACTTTAATGTATTAAACTGAGTAAGTAAACGTAAAAAGTAATATATGTGCCCCCGATTCCTCAGGCCCCAGGGAAATTTGCTTTTTTGGCACCCCTGTATATGTACAAGAAGTTATTTATTTATTTATTTGACTTTGTGAGGATTAATAATACCTTTTCCGTACACATTATAAGTTCGGCCAGGCCCAAAAAATTGGGCCACCGAGTGATGAGACGGGATCCGGAATATCCGGAACAGACCACAAAAGTTCCTAGTGTTGCTCGCTCAGATTTGATCCCGGGTCTTTCAGAGTAGTAAGCTGACTCCTTCGTGGCATAATTTATCCGAAAATAGTAATTACATAAAAATATTCAACTGCCAATCCGCATGATACAGTTATTAGATAAAAATAGAAATGCAATGTTTAAAATATCGTGGAATAAAGTAATAATACTAAGCCGGAAAAATAAACAATCGAAATTCAAGGATTAAAATATACTCTCTGTACCAAAGGCTTGTATTTTTGCCTGTACGAATCCGAAATTTACTTTTTAAATCTAAATATTAAGTAACAGTTACGTTTGAATTTCCAAGTACTAAACCTAAAGAACAGCAAGATCTTCGATGTACGGGTATGTAATTTAAAGTTTTTAACGATAAAATCAAACAATACACTTCAACAGTAATGAAATTCGCTGTCTGTACGATAATTCTTACATTTGTGATAGTGACAGTATATTTAGTTTCTGCGCGAAATAATTATAACAGACATGGAAGATATAGAAACACTGCATTCACCAGAAGGGTTCACAGATACTTAAATCCATTTGGCAGACTTCCCTGTAAACATCACTTCTGGATGAATCCTTTTTATAGCATTCTCCACAATATTAAAAGACGAAGAAAGCGTCCAAGAAAAGTAAAAATCCTCACTACCACGAAAACTCCCACAACGACTATTACCGAAATAATTACATCGATTACTACAAAAACGCGAAAACCAACGACTACAATTTCTGAAACAACAACAACGACAGAAATTCCTACAACGACTACTACAAAATTGCCTACTACAACGACAACAACAGAAATTCCCAACAACAACAACAGAAATTCCTACAACGACTACGACAGAATTGCCTACTACAACGACAACAACGACGACAACAACAGAAATTCCAACAACAACAACAGAAATTCCTACAACATTCCAACAACAACAACAGAAATTCCTACAACGACTACGACAGAATTGCCTACTACAACGACAGAATTGCCTACTACAACGACGACAACAACAGAAATTCCAACAACAACAACAGAAATTCCTACAACGACTACGACAAAATCGCCTACTACAACAACGACTACGAACAACAACAACAGTAATTACTACGACAGAATTGCCTACTACAACGACAACAACAGAATTGCCAACAAAGACAACAACAGAAATTCCAACAACAACGACAACAACAGAAATTCCAACAACAACAACAACAACAGAAATTCCTACAACGACTACGACAGAATTGCCCTACAACAGAATTGCCTACTACAACGACAACAACAGAGATTCCAACAACGACAACAACAGAAACTCCTACAACGACAACAGAATTTTCAACAACGACTACGACAACAGAGATTCCGACAACGACCACCACAGAAATTCCAACAACGACAACAACAGAAATTCCAAGAACAACAACAACAACAACAGAAACTCCTACAACGACAACAGAAATTCCAACGACGACAACAACAACAGAAATTCCTACCACGACTACAACAAAATCTCCTACTACTACAACGACAACAGAGATTCCAACGACGACCACTACAGAAATTCCAACAACGACAACAACAGAAATTGCAACGGAAATTCCTACAACGACAACAACGGAAATTCCTACAACAACAACAACAGAAATTCCAACGACGACAACAACAACAGAAATTTCTACAACGACTACGACAGAATCGCCTACTACAACGACAACTACAGAAATTCCTACCACGACTACGACAAAATCGCCTACTACAACGACAACAACAACGGAAATTCCTACAACGACAACAACGGAAATTCTTACAACGACAACAACGGAAATCCCTACAACGACAACAACGGAAATTCCTACCACGACTACGACAGAATCTCCTACAACAACTGCATCATCTACCACATCAGCTACTACAACAGAAGCGCAATCGGACCTAGATTTACTTTTTCATTTCGTACTATTTGTGTAAGCGTTGTATAATCTACAATAATCATACGAATCTGTTTTAGTTTAACTTGTCTTTTTATGAAGTCAGGCAACAAATACCGAAATTACGGTATATCTTCGTCCAGGGAAAGTCGTATCTACATGCTAAAATCATCATTTAAATATTGTTAATTCAATTTAAATGATAATCACAATGCAACAGAGTAAATCTCGGTTATCCCAATTAATCGGGCCTCGTTCTCTCCGAATATGCAGAATATTCGGCTAATTAGATTTACGGTTAAATTGTCATATTTTTCATCCAAACCACTCGTTGTATACGATTAGAGATAAAATCCCTGCACACATTTCTATTTTGCAACACGACAGAATTGCCTACTACAACGACAACAACGGAAATTACTACAACGACAACAACGGAAATTCCTACAACGGAAATTCCCATATTCTTATGGGCAATAACTTTATGGTCTTTAATTTTTAATACAAAGAATTTACAGCAAAAATCTTTTAATTAAAATCTTTAATTTTATTTTTAAAAATCCAGTAAGATTATCCGCGTATAGTTGAGAAAGTTATAAATTTATCAACTTATATAATGTATAGTATTAATAATTGAATAGATATTAAATGGCTAAAGTAGATGTATAAATTAAATATGAAGAAGTATTTTTTGTAAAGTATATTAAAATTTCATTTGGGTTGTTTCGTGAGATATCCTTTATTCATAACTTTGTTTCCTACAGAAATTTTGCTTTGTGTGTGTATGGGGGCACGATTTTGTTTACCCACTTTAAAGCTTCCTAACTCCTCTGCTTTTTGTCTAAAATTTCTGAAATTTTGCGGCAGGTTTGTATATTTTGGTGGCTAAGGTCAAGGGTCGAGGAGATTGAAGGAGCATATGTATCATATTTCGAGTAGGGTCGTACGTAATGATGATTTTACACGTTATTAGCGTTTACAAGGTTTATACTAGTGTTTCCCAACGTTTTTTGTGCTATGCCCCACCTAAGCCCTTCTAAAATTCTTATGCCCCCTAACATATACAGTGGCTATACCAGGCATGACCAACATACGGCCCGTCTAATGAATTTATGTGGCCCGCGATTAATCTATCAATATAAGTTACTCGAGTTCGAATAGCTCGATGAAAAATTCTGACGCCTATAAAAAAGGTCAACAACTCATTTCGCGTTTAGAGTTAACTTTCCATTACAAATCTCTTAACTACAGTGAAAAATGTACCTGTAATCTCTATGTACTGTACAATTTAGTCTCTATGGGGTGACACCACAATGAGATCTCGCACCACCTCAAAATCTTCCTAGAATGGCCTCTGGTTCGACCCGTGAAAAAAGTTTTCTTTCTAATTCGGCCCGAGGAAAAACTGTTGGCCACCCATGGGCTATGAGTCCATTTTCAAATTGCCCCCCTTAACAATCGAATTGCCCCCCTGTAGGGCGTGGGCCTCACATTGGGAAACACCGGTTTGTACAGTAAGACCCCGCTTAGTGCTGCCTCGCTTAACGCCGATTCGATCTAACGCGGTCTGCTCGAAGCCTAAAAAAGCTCAAAATTTACGCCCATTTAAATTATCGCATTTTATTGATTCGTATATAATACGATTATTTACGAACACAAGCCAATCGGCAAAAGAAGGTAAAAAGGTGTCCTTTCTTTAAATTTATGTTTGTTTGGTGAAATTTTGGAAAAAATATAACCTCACGGATGCCGTAGGAAATGTCGACTCGGCTTGGCAAGAATTAATTGATAAAGTGCACGAACAAAGTGTGGAAGAAGTTATGGCCGAAGGTATCCAAGAATTCTCAACGAGAAGAGCCTATCGCCGTATGGTTAGGTCGACCAAACTCGACCTAATCGATATAGCGGGACTAGGAGATACAGTCGAGCGGGATATCGAGGAGTTACGGCAAGTTTTTGGTGAGAGCTTTACCAACGACGACCTTCGAGAACTTGCAGAAAGAATCCGTGTGGGACTGAAAAATAGAGATTCTGAAAATGAAAAATCCAAAAAATTTCTTTACGGATTTCCTTAGTAAAAGTTTTGTAAGATAACCGAAATCGTCGATCAAATTGTAGCGAATGCTCCAGATTTTTAAAGGAGGGAGAAAGAGAAGCCAGGCGTTTTGGATGCGATCTTCCGCTACCGACATTTGCTTAAGGAAAGAAAAAAGCATACAATTGAAACTTCGCGACTTTATTGCAAAAGAACAAGAATTTCAGAAAAGTCGGGACCTTCGTCACAAAAAATGAACTTTGCATTTCTGTGCCTGTTTATGTGTTATTTAACATATATTATTATACAAATTAATATAAAAATAACTTAAAATTAAAGTAAAATTTGTTTGTTTGNATATAGAATTAACAAAATTATTTTTGTTTTTTCGTAAAAAAAAATAAAAATAAAAATATTCGAAGGAAAAAAAAATAAGAAAACATTTTGAAGAAATGTGTGATCAATTCTTTTGTCATCTGTACTTGAGTTTTTCTTATATATATAATTTTTTTTATCGTGTAGAAGTTTGATAAACTTGATTAAAGTGTAAAAAATCAGTTTAAATTCCAATTAGATACTATACAAATACAATTAACTTATGCAGAATTATAATTAGAACTCCAAAATTGGACTTTTTATTGTAAATATAAGGCAAAAAACGGACTTAAAATAACTTAATTTATTTAGTTTTTTTTTTAAATTTAGATAGGGCCTAGATGAAGTCATTGAGCCCATCTACTAGTATACGTGGGCCCTTCTCCATAAGCCTTAAAAATTCACTACTAATCGAAAAGAAACTTTAATTTATATCACTCTCGTATCATTTTTAATATAAAAAAAACGTAGATTTTGGAACCCTCTCTAAGTCAAAGGGACTTCTGTTAATCTCCATTTATCATAACTTCATTATAATATAAATTTTACATTCAACTTTAGTCTTGTATACCAATCTCATTTTGGGACCTTTATGCAGTCGATTTTTTATGAAGATAAACGTGGTCCAAAAATTAATTAACCAAATATATTTTAAGATTACAACATAGTTAACTGACTTTTGGTCCACCCTTTAAAATGTAAAGTGTGAAAGAAAACGATATCAACAACAAATCAGTTTGGACTTAAGAGAAGTTTAATGAGGTCGAAAAATACCCCCTTTTTTTTCCTCCTCTCCTCAACGAAAAAAGGACCCAATATTTAGGTTAAAACAAGAATTTTTCCCTCACAGACGGGTTATAATTAGGTTGACAGAGTTCGATCGTTACAGTATTTTTGCTTACGTTGCATAATTAGGGAGGAGAAAGATGGAGAAAAGATCGAATGAAAACTATAATTGTTAATTAAAGATTTAATGTAATAGATTTTTTAAAAAAAAATGAATTTTTATAAATTTATATGCATATTTAAAGTATTTACGTAGATGTAAAACTGCAAATGCAAAGACTTTAACAAACAAGCAATTCATTTTGAGATCTTCACAATAGTAACATTGTTTACCGAATGTAAATAACTTCCATCGAAATTACACAAATTTCCATATTAATGGATGCAATTTAACTTCTATTGTTATGTCAACAAACTTGGCAAACACTGGATATACTCCCAAATTATATATATATATATACTAGTATATAAGGTTACTCTCTTGTTTCTTTTTCCTTCCCTTTCATCTCCATCCTCCTGCATCCCGAAGAACTGGACAAGTCGAATTGGATCGGGTCCAAAATTCTGGATTCTCTTTTAGTTATTTTGAAATTTTGTTGTAGAAAATTTAATTTTAAACAGGTAAATATTTGCTAAGTAATCAAGAAACTGTTTCCTTTTCGTGTGACTAAAACAAAGGATTATAATTATATAAATTCTTCAACTTTTAACGTAAGTTAACTTTTCTATAGAATGGTTTAATTATTACTTTATCCTGTTAATTTTATCCTTAAAGGATCCTGTTAAAAAAGTTTATCTCATCTATTCCAAGGATAAAATTGTAAGCTAAAAGAACAATCTACAACTTACTCAGGCTTTAATCCTGTAGGATCTACTCAAAGGATTCGTTAGATTTTAATGGAAGGATCTAATTATTAGTTTTTTTTTTCCTCCTTTAAAGTTTGGTAGGATCAATTCAGAACATAAATCTTAAGGTTAAAATTATCAATGTTAAAGGATCAATTTACGACTTACTCATCGATCGTAAAAGTTTAATGATTGATCCTATAATTTTTATGCGGGTGATCCTATATAAAAATGGTAGGACGTACTTATAGGATCATTATTTATAATATAAAACTTGCAGTTTTATATTATAAATAATGTACTAATTATTTATCTATTATAAAATAATGTAATAATTATTTTATATTATAAATAATGTTATTTATAATATAAAATAAATTTTATATTATAAATAACTTGAGTAGGAAAAAGATTTAAAATAAAATAAAAATAGCTCTTGGAGAGTGGAGATGAGGAGGAGGATGAGGAGGAGGAGGAGGAGAGAGAGAGATGTTAGATGTTGTTCCTACCATATCCAATTTCTACCGTAGAAAATACGTCTAAAATATATTTCTCGTTTAACGTGATAAAAAATTTAATGCTGAAAGAATAATTTATAAAATTTTGAATAATTTTTCTTTAAGTATGTTACGTTGACCTCTAAATTCAGGTGCATCACATTTATGTGGAGATAACTTGTGATCAATTAAATAAATGAAGCTGTAACCTTTTAATCTTAAAAAAAATTGAAAATGTTAAATGTAAGGAAGGTTATTTTATCTTAATTTTCTGTCATTTGTGGAATACAGTAGAACCTCGATTATCCGCCCCCCCGATCAACCGACCCCTCGGTTAACCGACAGTCCTAGTCGGCAAATTTCAAATGTCCGCTAGTGATGTGGCGCTACAATAGCGACGATTATTATTTTAAAAAATTTTTGTTAGGCTTCGATGAAAATTCAACGCAAAATAGGTTAATAGCGATATACTAATATACTAATATACTAATTACATGGGATATAATAATATACTACACTAATAATGGGTTTTTTCATACTTTTCGGTTATCCGACTTTTCAATTATCCGACCAACCCCAGTCCCCAATTAGGGCGGATAATCGAGGTTCTACTGTATGTGATAAGAACTAGGTCAGCGAGACCATTCGTCACACGTTTTGTTTCGTAGGAATAGTTCCAAAAACGAACTGCTTAGAATATGTTTTGCGGAATAAAATCATCGAATATAAAGTATTAAAACTATGTATGAAACATGAAGTCGCATTAATCTCAAGAGTGTAGTAATAAATAGAATTCTGTTTTTATTTGTTTACAATTTATGTGTTTTAATTATATATAAATTTATCTATAACTTATTTGTATAATAGAATGCCCGACTGTTCGTCTGTCCGTTCTCTAAACACATTTAAAGTTTTTCATCTATTTACACCGAATATTTCACGCTTGTGGAAAATATAGGCTAAAATCAGCAGCGTATAAGTTTACAGGATTTTGACAATATGGTTGCTATTCAAGGCAGATTTGAGTGTATGCAAAGGCACGTGATTCCTGTCGTTTTTTGGAGAATGTTATTCATTTATCTTAGTTACCTTACTTTTTAGTTCATCTTTTAAATTGTTAAATGGAAGACACGGACTCCTCTATTCGTTCTTCTGATTTGACGGCTCTGTTTATTATATTTTTTTCCTTTATGCACTCGAAATTACATAAATTGATTTTCTAGATTTCTATTAATACCCGTAAATTAATTCATCCTTCTTCCTTTGTATAATAATCATAATATATCAGCTTCTATACTTCGCATCAATTGAAGTTTTCACAAAGAGCTTTTCACCTGGTATTTAAAAAGTTTTTACATTTTTACATCTCGTTTTTTATGAATACATTTCCCCCTTTGTTTTCGTCATAACTTTATTGTAACTTTGTATTCTATTATATTCGAACAATTGAATTTTAAATATTGGGATTGACATTTATGAGTTTGTATTTATAGGGCATTGATAAATATATTTATATATTTATCAATGCAATGGTCACTCATCACCTCATAACCACGGTACAACTATGCGGCCTCCCGACCATTCCTATTCAGTTTCCTACAGGCCAATATTATTTCCGCCTGTTCCCGATGAAAAAATGGGTTATTATCACAACACTACACCATACATTTACACCACGCGTGCTCCCACTTTCACTACTATGATTATTGAAAAGCAGAACTAATGGCACGATGCCCAGCAGTGTCGCCCATTTCTGCTGTATTTCTGGACATACGATCTGGAAATAAAACCATTTTTGTTCTTTGATCCTCCTGAAATACACTACTGGAGTTTGTTTCCATAGTTTAAAACCATCTTGTATATTTCTAAATTTCTTTAAAAACTTCTGAAAATAATTTAGTGAACTATTAAATTTATTACCAGACCTTTCCAAGTATTTTTGAGAGTGGGCCAAATTTATTTAGATGTTCTCATGAAAAATAAAATAAAAATGATAATAAAATAACAAATCATTAATAAAGAATTCTTACACATATTTATTTATACTAAATTTATTTACACCGAAGAACGTTGTAGTATTTTAAATTGGTTTTTATTTGATATCAATTAGATCAATAGCATTTGATATAAATTTTCCTACCACATTCATTTCAATTTTAGAATAAATACCTTGTCATAAAAGTTTATTAAACCAACTTCATTTTTATGAAAACTTGATATTATTTTTATCATCATATCTAATTTAAAATTTTAATCTTGTATGTTACGTACGATTTATAATTTTTAAGAAGGATTGCTCCTTTGCCAGGCTTTTCATAATGGGGGTGCCAAGACCTTAGCTGTAATTATACAAATTACAATACGATTTACATACTCCGCGTGATTCCAAAAACAGGAATAGAAAAAGTAAACCATCACATTTATTATTTTTACTCGAAACTATTGAAATTACTGTCATTTTTATTTCGTGATATTTCTTTTAGTCTGTACTTCATATTTTTCAACACGTGTTTCAAAAAAATATCGCATTAAATTATTTTGCTTTTTTCTGTTTGTATCAGATTATTTTCTGCCATTAAAGTCGTACGCTATGCGTTATTTTATGTAACAAAACTGTTTTGTTTTGGTGTTAAGAAATGCTGCAGCACCATAAGTCATAGTACCATGAGGTCATAAATATCCTCTTATCCAGAGGATACTTATGACCTCGAGACCCTCAATTTTAGTTCCCTTTTACTTCCTTAAACTTTGTCCGATCTACACCAAATTTTTCATAATAGTCTGTAGGACCCTATAGAAAATAGGCTACCATAAAACTCGAACATTCCTGATTTCATAACAATGTTAGACTAAAATAAGCAAACTTTTATATGGTTTTCATTTTAATGTTTGTCTTTATTTTTTGTCCGAGAAATTCCGAACATATCTGCTAGTTATGAATAAAAATAAATAATTATTAAATTTAAAATATTCAAAACTATTTGTAAAAACTTGTGAAATATTTTCATTTACTTCAAGTTCAAATCCAGAAAAACGGTTGACTCTTACACGAAAAGCTGTGTTCAAAAAGGAAAGAAGTAAAATATTTTAAATAAAGTTTACTGCTTGAAATAAATGAAATGTCTTATTTCTTTACTTTAAAATATTTCCTATTTTGTTATCTCTTACGAAGAAAATTCCTTGTTATTTCCAGGATATACACTAAACAAGGAATTTTAATTGATAAAATTGTCATTTCCTTAAAAATAACCAAATTTTATATTTAACTTGATTTAGCCAACGTCTTATTAAATTATTTGTTTATAAGTATATTAAAGTATATTTATGTATTAATAAATGCATTTTTATTTTTAGAAAAATATTTATCGCGGCTCCAAACACGTTGCATTTAGATACAGATGAAAAAATTGCAATCGTAGCAAACGGTGTTGGAAATAACGAAGAACTACAAGTCTATCTTCAAGATTATCCTAGTAAAATTAACGTCATTTCTTCATCTAAAGTAACAGTTACAAATGGTAAATATATTTTAGCTAATTAATTATTTTATTATTATTTTTTTCGAATAAAACAACCCACGAATGGCCCAGCGAACACTAGTTAGTTGTGGGTTCGCAATTGACCAAGTGGTGTTTTATCGGGTTTTTTCACGTGCATAACACTTAATTAAATTAAATAGATGCCAGTTTCTTATAGAAGGCACTCCCTTGACGGATCGCGTATGTGTTGCGCTAACTTATCTCGACAATCTTTTCATAAAAACCTATAAATATACAGTATATTAAAATCTATTTTAAAATAAAAGTTTTAGTTATGCAGTGCAATCATGACGCTCCTCAGGGAGTGTTAGCAGACCCACCGCAGATTGACCAGCCCACAACACCTATGTCAGACGCAGAGCCTACAATTGCAGAAGTAAAGGCAGCCATTGGATCGCTGAACATTGGCAAAGCTGCTGGACTGGATCTGATCACTGCAGAAGCGATCAAGGCTGGTGGTGACATCCTTCATCATCGTCTTTATCTACTCATTAAAACAATATGGCACACAGAACAAATACCAGCCATCTGGAAGAAAGCTATCATCGTGCCAATCCATAAGAAAGGCGATAGCCGGGATTGCAGTAATTATCGCAGTATCAGTCTCCTTTCCATCGTTGGCAAAGTATTTATGAAGATAATCCAATCAAGGTTACAAAAACACCGTGAAGAAACCAGCCGAGAAGAACAGGCAGGGTTCCGTCCTTTTCGCTGACAACGATGGAAAGCACACACGCTTTATGATACCGCCACTATCGCTCAGTCATATGGTCTTAAAATAAATGTGGACAAAACCAAAGTGCTTACAACGGATGGATCGCGGGCAACTGTTTGCCTTAATAATGGAGTCCAGATTGAGCAGGTACAAGAGTTTAAATACCTTGGGTCACTGATCCAGGAGAAGAAAGTGGCATCGTCGAAAGAAACTCATGCCCGTATTGGGCAAGCAGCCCATGCATTTGCCTCACTCAAATGGTGTGTATGGAGAAAGAATAACATCTCTTTGATGACCAAGATTCGCCTGTTCCGTACACTAGTCATACCGATCCTTTCCTATGAGTCAGAAACTTGGACCCTGCTTAAGACAGACTTGGACAAACTTGAGACCTTTCAATTGAAATGCTTGAGACAGATTCCCCTTTGGGATCGCATCACCAACAACGCCATTAGGGCCAGATGCCAACAGCAGCCATCTGTTGAGACACAAATTCAACAGCGACGGCTGAGATGGTTTGGCCATGTGTGCCGAATGGATATTAACCTGATTCCGCACCAACTGCTCTTCCGACAGCGACCTACTCTGTGGAAAATCCAACACTCCGCACTTAAGAAAACGTGGACCAAACACGTTGAGGAGGACCTCAAGAACCAACGGCTTGATCTGAAGCAGGCAAAAGCGACGGTCATGGATCGAGGGCATTGGAGAGGCATTGTAGAGAAAGCTCGACTTCCTGCGGCACCCACAGCAGCATATTGGTTGCGCGGACGCCCACAACCAAATGCCAGCTAGGGACAAAAGAAGAAGAAGAAGTTATGCAGTTTTTAAAACTGCTCGTGACACTACCTGTTATGATATTTTATTAAAAAACTTTTTATATAATTAATTGTTATAAAATGGCAAAAAGCGGAATTTTCAGATAGAAATGAGTTTTATTTAAAAGAAAATTGTAAATGCTAAAAACGTGTAAAATCTTCATTAAGCCCGACCCTACTCGAGATATGATACGACCTCTTCTATCTTCCTTCTCCTCGACCTTTAACCACCAAAATTTAATGGTATCAATCCCCTAATACACAACTTCTCTGCAAAATTTCAGAAATTTTTGACAAAACACACAGGAGTTATTAAACTTCAAAGTGAGTGAACAAAATCGTGCTCCCACACATTAATATCCAAATATACAGAAAAAAAAAAACGATTTTTTGCATTTCTCGACGTTTCAATGTGTCCCGAGTCCAAAAATGTAAAAATATTGATGGTCATTTTTTTTTATCGATCTCCATACTTTTTCCTCTGTTATACGTAACAGCCAGAAAAGTAAAAATGACCGTAAAAATGATGGGATAAATGGCAAAGAATGCGAATAACAGGGCTAATAGTCGGATGATCGTGACAATCAATTAAGAAATCAATTGGGTTCTCCGAGGTGGGCGGAAAACCCCAAAATTTTTTCATGGGCGGTTAGACTCGGATACATCGGGTCTCGTTCCTTTATCACCCTGTCGTCTCAACTGTTGGTCTGGTCGAATCTACAATGGTATGGAAAAAGACCACCTTAGTGTTCATAGGGCGAAAAGAAAGTCGAAGGCGCTTCATCTTTAGCTTTATTTAGGAATATTTAAAATCATAAGGTGAAATATGACTACGATACTTCTATAGACTGCTCTCCTATAGGCCCTACTATTAGTAATGACGTAAAGATAGGATAATTCATTCTAGGGATTCCTGTGTTATTTGAAAAATACGGCAGACAAATTTAAACTATACATTAGTATCGGATTATATTTAGTTTTATGTTAAAATTTAACACAATTGTGAGATTATATGACGACGTTTTCTTCTGACACCAATGTAACTTTTCCATTTGGCGTCACCAGTGTGAGGTCCAAGCTGTGCCTAATTGACCCCAATGGAGTTTTATAGAGCCTTTTTAGTCTTCTTTCTCCGAATGTAAGTGATTACACTCGGAAATTTCTGACACCAAGTAGGTTACGCCTACTATACAAGTTTTAAGCGTTTTTTTTCCTGGATGGCAAAAACGCTGCCTAGTATGTGAGACTAGGAGTAAGATGATGGAGTAGGAAATGACACGATTCGGTTGTAAAGGAGTCATTCGACACAATTAATTACATTTAAACATTTATTAGACGGCTTGAAAGTTCGTGCAATGCGTTACTCAACTAAAGAAGTCACAGTATTCGCGTTTCGAGCGTTATCATCGCGGAGAGGGAGAGTTAACAAATTTCGGTACCTTATGAGTCTGAACTAGTAATCCCACGTCGAGGAGAACAGGAGATAAGTTCTTGACGTCGTTTAACAGTTCTGGAGAGTAGTAGCACACAAGCAGAAGGATGACGGGAAATCCGAAGGAGACACACAAACGAAACTGTAGATGTTAATAGCAGATTCTTAAAAGGACGAAGAACGGACGACGAGTGACTAAAATCAGCCGTTTCTCGTCATATCTAAAAGTGCAAATTTCTTAACGGTGACTAAAAGTCGAAGGAAAGGTGTCATAAGATGTTACTATTGGCTCCGAGAAAGCGTAAGTTGACACTTTCTCAAGTCAGAAAGTTGACCTATACTAGTTTCTGATGAGGTCATCATCGGGTTTGTTTTTCTTTAACGTGTTCGATTCTCATACAATTACTCTATCGTCTAACAATACTGCAGCTAGCTTTCTTACAGAGCCACGTGGAAATGCGATTCGTTAATTAGAAAGATTTAATAAATTAATGAATAAATTAAAAGAGCAGTTAATTTTTCCGCGATGAGTCGGTCTCTTTGAGTCGCTCTAATCCCTGGATAAGTCTTCTGTATTTAGTGGATAGGTGACTCACTTGTCGCCCATTCATTACATAACTTTGTACGGAATCCGTCAGAACTGTTCCACGAGCAACACACACCTCGCTATAATCCATATACTGTATCTTAATGATAGTTTTAATGTAAAAATAACGATCGATTTAATGTAAGCATAACACGAATAATATAAATAGGTATTATTATATTTAAGAAACTTTTTGTGCAAGTAATTTTACTGGCAAAGTGGTGTAACTAGTAGCAGCGAATTTCGAATAGTTTTTGGTGGTGTCTCGCAGAAACAGAATAACACCTAAATAGGGACCAGTTTTTATAGGAAGTCTTCTTGAGAGGCACTACTCCTCTAGAAAGAGGACACATTTGTGCATTGCCTCATTCCATCAATCTAATCCTTTATTTTACATTATTATTACGAATTTAATTGTAATAACCTTAATTTAAAAAAAGATTCTACAATGTTAAAGGTTCAATATCAAAATTTTCCGAGCAACGCTGGGTGTTTCTGTTAATAATAAATAATAGCAAAAATAATCATTCCCAAAACTAACTTTTATAAAAACTGGTGGCAGGGGCGTCGATGCTTTCCTGTAAATCAAACACTTCCAGTGTATGCAACTTTACTGAAATGAGTATAACTGTAATCTGTTTCACATCAATCGGCATCTAATATAAACAAATACACACGCACTGTACATTTTAACTGTTTTAATTTCAACGTCAGCCCAATAGGAGCCGGCTGATTGTGTTAGTCGGGATCGTCTAGCGGTCACGACTATCGTGTGGGAGTGGAAAAACTCTTAGAGACAGACTATTTTTATTCATCCTTTAACCCGTTTATATAACAAAAGGTTCTTACAAAAATAATACACTTTTATCGGGAGGTCAAGTCTTCTGGGTCCCTTTTCCAGATGACGAAGGTCCAAAAGGAAAGTTCTCCGGTGGGTTGGCGGGAGTCGACGGCCCCGGGGCTCACTATTCGGTTCCAAAGGGAAGGTTCCGGTAGAGGGATGATTCTGGTAGCGGGTGCACAATTCCAGGGGATACTCTAAAGGAGGTAAAATCCAACTGCAGAAGTTTACGGAAACACCGAGTCGTACGATCGAGAAACAAAGAACCAAGAACAGAGAACCGAGAGAACGTCACGTCCTCGATTATAAGTTCTTTTTGGGTCCCAGATCGAACATTCCGATAGGTCGATGTCGACTTACCCCCGCTTTCCGATTGGTTTTCACTCGTTACGAAACGTAACAAGATCAGAACCCAGACCGATTGACAATTCGATCCCTATCGAAGATGTTCGATCTTAGGACTTACATTCTTCTATTGTTTTAACTTGTCAAATTCATCTCTTGGAAATTTCTACAGACACGTCCTTTTATGGAAATAAAATATTCATTTTTCGTTTTCTCCTCTTTTTTTT